AGGAAGAGGGCCTCCTTCAGTACTTCTACTCCGTAGATTGGAGGCTGGGGTGGGGCAGGAGTGACAAGGGACAGTGTTGTCAGGTTTGGGTCCCTGTAGCACATCTCAGCACCCAGTGGGTGCTCTGTATGTTTTGGATTAAATAAAGCCAGGATGTGAGCTAGCTTTGTATTAATTCCATTTACCATCTCAGCTTCATTTTTATTGGCCCAGGCCCAATGGGAGGCCTTTTCATGAGAGCACTTAATTATTCCCCAGTGCAGACCACAGAGAGCAGGAGGAGCTGGGGCTGGGCAGATGCTGCTCTCACAAACTCAGGTCTCTGCAGGCTGGGTAGATTCCGTTTGAATTGATTGCGATTGATAGGGACAGGGTTCCTTTAGGCTAGGTAGACTCAGGCAGTTCATTAGACCTGAGACCAGGGTGCTGAGAAGGAGGCATTTGTGCAGAGATCTGGGAGAAGCTCATTCTGGGGGCATCAGTGGGCTATAAAAGCTTGGGGTAGGGACTCGAGTCTGAGCAGCCAAGCAAGGCTGGGTGATTTGAAAGGGGTGGCACGGAATGAGGTTGACGGGCCGAGGAGGAGGGTTGTGAGGGTCGTGGGGAGGAGTTGGAATACCTCTCTGAGCAGGTGAAGCCGTTGTGGAGGTTTCGCTGGCAGGGAGAGCTGAGGTGGTTTGGAGAGTGGTTAGAGATGTGGCCACAACAGGCTGAAGCTGGGCGATGCTGCACAGATGGAGCTGATGGGATGTGCTGCTGGGGTCAATGTGGGGAAATGAAGTCCTGTCTCAGCTTCATCAGCTGGTGGCCTTCCAGGCCAGCCACTGTGATAGGACCCCAGTGCATTGTCCCTCTCGAACCTGTGTTAACAGCCTGCAGCTGCTGTGTAGCCTTCTCCCTGGCTGGTGGGTTTTCCATGCATCTCAGTTGCTTCCCTGGGCCCTTTTTCTCTCTTCTGTTTCCAGTATTATGGCGGAACAGGATGTGGAAAACGAGCTTCTGGATTATGAGGAAGATGAAGAGCCCCAGGCTCCTACAGAGAGCACCCCAGTACCCCCCAAGAAAGATGTCAAGGGGTCCTACGTTTCCATCCACAGCTCTGGCTTCCGGGACTTTCTGCTGAAGCCTGAGCTCCTGCGGGCCATAGTGGACTGTGGCTTTGAGCATCCATCTGAGGGTACGCCTCCCTGTTCCTTCGCTCCCCACCACACCACACCCCTCCGCTGACCCCTCCGCCCACACAGGGAGAATCCAGCTTCCCATCACTCATGGGCTCTTTTTCCTTCAGTTCAGCACGAGTGTATTCCCCAAGCCATCCTGGGCATGGATGTCCTGTGCCAGGCCAAGTCTGGAATGGGCAAGACTGCAGTCTTCGTGCTGGCCACCCTACAGCAGATCGAGCCCGTCAATGGACAGGTGGGCGCGTCCTCCCTCCCAGGCTTAAGTTATGTAAAGTAGCATAGACCACGACTCCTGGTGTTAAAAATTCCTGTTCCCACATTCTTTTTGTGGGCTTTTAAAATGAAGTACAGTACTTAGTTTTACAAAATCCCCCCAAAAATAATAAGCCAAGAAAAAAGCTGGAAAGTGCCCACAGTTTTACCATCCAGAGACATGGTAGTTATTTTGCATGTACTTTCTAAATTGTCCCTACAGTATTTCTGAAGGGGGGTTCCACTGCACACAGCTTTGTTACTGCTGTAGTTGCTGACAGGCCTTAGCTGTCTTATGCCATGACAATCGTGTTCCACTCTCTTGGGGGATAATTGAGGTGAATACCAGTGTTCTGTTTTTGTCATGTTGGGGCAACATCCATGTGCTGCTGCATGTGGGTACACGAGCCTTTGTTTCCTTAGGGTACATGGTGAAGGAGGGAGTTTTAGTGGGAGGTCATGATGTGGTTGCAGAAGACCCCAGTGTAGCTAGAGGGTAGACTCAGCACGGGGCCCGTCACTGGCTAGAGAGCCAGTGTGGGCTCTAGCTGGGGAGGATTTAGGGTGCTGCCTTGAGTGAGTCTCTCTTGCCTACCCAACAGGTGACCGTCTTGGTCATGTGCCACACTCGGGAGCTGGCCTTTCAGATCAGCAAGGAGTATGAGCGCTTCTCCAAGTACATGCCCAGTGTCAAGGTGAGCCCCCTTGAGCCGGGCCTGGCGCCATATGGTCCTCTACAGCCTGGCTGGCCTCAGCTCTGGCCCAGCCAGCATTTACCAAGCTTGGCTGCAGCAGCTGCCTTTGAGGTTTGCGGTGGTTTATGCTCCTTAAAAGCCTGATGAATTATGCATGGCCCCCAGAGGCCGGCGCAGGTCCCAGCCCTGGGCTGCTTTTCAGTGGAGCTGTGCCCAGGCTCTCAGGCCTCTCTAGGCTTGGGGAATTGAGGTCTGCTGCGGCCTGAGTTGGCAGGGCCACGGGCTGGGTGGCTGTCAGCATGGAGTAGGGTGCGAGGCTTCAGCCCTTGGATGGGCAAAAGTGACGCGCCCCCCCCCCCCCCCCCCGCATAGGTGTCCGTGTTCTTCGGGGGTCTCTCCATCAAGAAGGACGAAGAGGTGCTGAAGAAGAACTGTCCCCATGTCGTGGTGGGGACGCCAGGCCGCATCTTGGCACTCGTGCGGAACAGGAGCCTCAACCTGAGAAACGTGAAGCACTTCGTGCTGGATGAGTGTGACAAGATGCTGGAGCAGCTGGGTGAGTGTCCTTGTGGGTCTGTGGGGCTGCCAGAGACCCAGCCAGCCGCACCTGCGCCCTCACAGCCTTCCGACTTCAGAGCCAGGTGGACCCTGACAGGCCAGGGTGAGGGATTTCCCAAAGTGGGGTCACGTGGGTGGCCGGCAGGTCTCCTGTAGCAGTTTAGGGCGAGTTCTTGCTTTGACCTAATGTGACCTGCTACTTCTGACCCCAACCTGAGTGGGACCACAGGGCCTAAATGAGCCACTGTCCGACACATGTTAGCCTGAGGCTTGCCATAGCCTCCTCTCCTGCCGGGTTAGCTCTAGACCCCCTGCCTGCCTTCAGTGAGCCCTGACGGGGCCAGTCAGAGATAGGGCTTGTGTCCTGGGAGGTAGCTGCAGCTCTCACCCCAGCAGCTGTCTCTGCCTCAGGCTCCCTTCCCTGAAGCATGGCTGGAGGTGCTCTGGCACGGCTGCTCCGCTCTGGCAGCGTGTAAGTGGATTGCAGCTCCTCCTGGGCCTGCGCTCACCCCAAGACCAGCCCCGCAGGCATTGGGGTCTCACCCCTCCCTCCACTCCTTGCTCACACCACCCTCATCTTGGTGCCAGGTTGGGAGGGGCTGGGACTGGTCTCGGTTGGGGGTCAAGGTCTGGCAGGCACTCATGCCCACCTGTTTCTTGCCCTCCCCACCCAGACATGCGGCGGGATGTACAGGAGATCTTTCGCCTGACGCCACACGAGAAGCAGTGCATGATGTTCAGTGCCACCCTGAGCAAGGAGATCCGGCCCGTCTGCAGGAAGTTCATGCAAGATGTGAGTAAGCCAAGACCTCAGTGCAGCAGCTTTGGCCCTCCTGGGTCCTGAGGCCCAAGCTGCTGCTGCGGCACGTCGCCCATGCTGCCCTCACAGCACAGCAATGCTGGGAGGCTTGTGGAGCCCTTCTTTCCTCCTCGCTGTCTTGTCGGATTGGGAGCTGAGCTGGGTCCACACCTGAATCAGACCAGAGCTTAGATCCAGCTGTTGGGAGAGAAATGGTCACTGGGTACAGCAGCCTCTCTGGGAAGCATCGCAGCGTGGAGTCGTTCCTGGAAGGTTCTGGGCAGGCAGGGTGCCCAGAAGTAAGCCCTGCCCGCCCCTTCCTGCTCCCCTCCCCTCAGCCTATGGAGGTGTTTGTGGACGACGAGACCAAGCTCACGCTGCATGGGCTGCAGCAGTACTATGTCAAGCTCAAAGACAGCGAAAAGAACCGTAAACTCTTCGACCTCCTGGACGTGCTAGAGTTCAACCAGGTGACACTGCTGTTGCCCTTTGAGGGGTTCTGGGCCTTTGGAAGGACAGTGCACGGGGACCGTGGCCCTGACTCTGCTGCCTTCCTCCGGCAGGTGGTGATCTTCGTGAAGTCGGTGCAGCGCTGCATGGCCCTGGCCCAGCTGCTCGTGGAACAGAACTTCCCAGCCATCGCCATCCACAGGGGCATGGCCCAGGAGGAGCGGTGAGTATGTGCCACCACGAAGGCCTGAGGGTGGGGCCCTCAGAGGGAGTGCTGCTCAGGAACCTTGTACCTGATGTCTGCCTTTTGCTTCTCCTGCACCAAGCCTGTCACGCTATCAGCAGTTCAAGGACTTTCAGCGGCGGATCCTGGTGGCCACCAATCTGTTTGGCCGAGGGATGGACATTGAGCGAGTCAACATCGTCTTCAATTATGACATGCCTGAGGACTCGGACACCTACCTCCACCGGGTGAGTGGCCCCGCAGAGGTGGCACCTCCCTGAGGGCCCCTTCCTGGGGTGGGGACCAGGCCTGGCTTGAGTTCCTGTATCTCCCTGCAGGTGGCCCGTGCGGGTCGCTTTGGCACCAAAGGCCTGGCTATCACTTTTGTGTCTGATGAGAATGATGCCAAAATCCTCAATGATGTTCAGGATAGGTTTGAAGTAAACGTGGCAGAGCTTCCTGAAGAAATTGACATCTCCACATACAGTAAGTGGCTCGGGCAAGAGGGTTGTGCTGGGCCCCGGGGGCCTCTCTTCCTCTCTCACTGGCCTCCGCACATTCTGTCTTACAGTTGAGCAGAGCCGGTAACCACACACCTGACATCCCCGAGCCACCCTGCTTCCCACGTGCTGCTTCAAGTCCTCTTTCTAGGCGACAGTGGGGCTTTCTTTTTACTGTTCAAACACTGTAGATTTGTGTAAGAATAAATTTTTATTATGGAAGCCTGGCTCCCGCCCATTTGTTTCTTACTGGTCTCTTCACATTTCACAGACATAGTGGGCCTGGTCAGTGAGCCCCCAGCCACCAAAGCCACCTCCTGTACTAGTATCTGTGAGATTAAATTTTAAATGTCAACATTGAAAACTTTATACAGATTTTAAAAACAACAACACATTACACAACATCCATGACCTTCAAAACATTGAGAACCCTCTGCCGGGAGGCAGACTGGCCTCTGTACCGTGAGTCTCAGGGCCTGAAGGGGCCCTGCCCTTCTCCCATCCTTGAGCTTAGTCTTAGCTTAACAGGAAAATAGAACCCCAGCACGCTGGCCTCTTGTTATGTAGCAAAGACAGATGAGTGGGAGGCCAGGAGCCTTGTCTGTCCGGGTGTTGGGTACCAGGGCAAGGGGCTGCAGCCCTGTCCGGCTCCTGCCCACCCTGGGTGCCAGCTGGGGTGCAGCAGAGGCAGCCAGAAGCAGGTCCATCAGGTCCGACTCCACCCTGTGTTCCTGGGTTTGGCGCCAGAGAACAACTGTTGATGCCCCTTCTCTGGGGACAGGAGAGTGGAGGGATCAAGGTTGTGAGAGAGGAGGGGACAGTCTTCAGTATGTGCAAAAGCTGCTGAGGCCACAGGAGCTGCTGGCCTGGCCAGAACCTCGCAGTCACATGCCAGACTCTGACGGCCTGAGGGACTGGAGAGAGAGGAACCCGGTAAGGACTGATTCTGGACTGATTCCGGCCCAAGGCTGCCTTCTGGCCCTGCACCCCCACACCAGGGTTGGCCCTTACCCTAGTCTGATTTTGGCTGGTGCTGGATGTCGATGTGCCAAAGTCCGAGTACTTATTCCCAGTGACCATGCAGGCCCACTTCCGGTACTCCTCCCTCACCTGCAAGGCCCAAGGTGCCAGGTCAGGGGAGGCAGCCCCAGGAAGTAGGGGAAGGGGAGGGGACACCCACAGCTGCCCCACGGCCCACCTTTTTGTTGAGCAGGCAGTGCAGCAGGAAGAGGAAGAAGCCCTGCAAGCAGTTGAGGATGGTGAAGGCATAGGCCAGCACCTGGCTCCTCGGGTCGAAGAGGAACAGGCCGAAGACCCATGTGCAGCCCAACACCAAGAGCTGTGCGATGGCCGTGATGGTCAGCACCCTGGGGGAGAAGGGCAGCTGTAGCAGGGGACACCCCACGCATCCCCCCTCTCCCTGTCGGCCCCTGCCCTCACCTGGCCTTCTTTAATTTCTTCATGTCTGGGTTGATCTCAGAGAACTTCTGAGTGAGCTTCCAGACAGTTATCACGAAGATGACGGCGTTACACTGGGCGGGGAGCAGAGAGTTTGGATTAGGGTTTTGTCCTTGGAACTCAGGGAGAGAACCGGCCTGTTGGGCTCAGTGAGGAGCCAGCTGACACAGGCCTTAAGGGTGGAGCGTGGGGGATTAGTTACCAAAATGATGAATGTCACAGGTCCCAGGAAACTCCAGAGGAAGCCGTGCCTGCGGTCCAGCCAGCAGCTGGATGAGAAGAGAGGGGTCTGGTCAGGAGCCGGAGGGGACTGAGGGGATTGGGGCACCGAGGTTGTGGCCCCACACCCCTGGCCAGACCCCAGCCCTCCTATGGCCTCACGACTCCCCACTCACTAGATACCGCGGCCGTAGCCCTCGGGCCTGGCGGCCGCTGAGATGGCCACAATGAGGAAGGGAACGCCGTAGCCGATCAGGTAGAGCCAGCGCTTGCTTAGGCCCTGACCCTGGAATACACGCACCACGAGGAAGTAGAGCTCCAGGCCTTCTAGGCTCATCCAGCAGAAGGCAGCCAGGAAGCAGTAGTGCAGCAGCCCGGCCACCAGGCGGCAGCGCAGCCCCACCTGCGGGGTGGGGGCGGGGCAACGTCAGCGCATTCCCGGCCGGAGCGCTTGTGGTGGGCGGGGTCACGGCGGGGGCGGGGTTGTGGGCGGGATAGGGGGCGTGGCCAGGTGGTGCTCAAGCCGGCGCAGGGGCGGGGCTTCTCCGACCTGGGACCTAGCTAGGCTAGCTCCCAGGTGAGAGATGGGCACTCTGTGGGGAGGGACCTCACCTGGCCTCCTTCGTTCTCTATGCCGGCCAGAAATATGGCAGAGCCCAGGAAGAGGCATATGCAGAGGTGCAGGTGCACGGTGGTGCGCGAGCCCTGGATGGGCCGCACTAGCAGGAAGGTGAGGATACACAGCAGCAGGCAGACCAGCGACAGTGCCAGGCCCACTTTGGTGATCAGGGCCAGCTTCAGGTCCTAGATGCAGGATGGAATGGGAGGGGCTTGATCAGCACCTTGAGGCCTTCTGCCCTCCTTGTGGGTCCCACAGCCCAGACCCACCTGGGACCTGCCTGACCTCAGGACTCAGATCAGGCCGATCACCTCCCCCCACCTCTTCTGCCTTCAACGTCTGAGCAAGCCTGCTGTGTCTGTCATTCTAAATGCGCCCCCCCCCCCCCCACACACACACACACATATGTGGGTGCAGCAAGGATCCCAGACTGCTCTCTGGAAAAGGTCCCAGTGAGGCTTTGACTGTCACATCCTTTTCCAACACTGATGGGTCCCCTTCTCTGACCTCATCTCTTGCCCCTTCCACACCTGGACACACCTATCAGCTCACAAATCCTACATTTTAGCACTTCCTGGGCCTTTGGCCTGGACCACCACCCTCTCCTACTCTGCCTAGCCCATTCCAGGTATCCACATGGCCAGTTCATCTATGGATCACCTGAGGCCACATACAGAGTTGTGCTCCAGCTTTTGGCGGTATTTAACAACTGGGTCAATTGGATCGGGGTGGACAGAGGGAAGCTGGCTGGAGCAGGGCCTCCAGTCAGGCCACATTTAGTTGCTGGGTCAAGGGGGCTTGTCTGTGGGACCACCTGAGCTGTGCAACCAAAAACACGCGTTGGGCCACACCATCAAGAACCAGCTGCTCATCTCACCTAAGCCAACCTTGCCATCTGTGGGCTGTTGAGGGTAGCCCTGGGGCTGCTCACCTCCACGTCGTAGTGGGCCATGAGGATGGCAAAACTGCTCAGGTGGCTGCACTGGCAGGTGATGCTGTTATTGCTGCTGCCTAGCTTCTTGCAGCCTGTGGTGGACCAGGACCCACCACTGTCGTTACCCTTCCAGAAGGCACAGATTAGCTCCTGACGTGACTTGGGCGTCTCCGGCTGTGGGCAGGTGGGGGTGTTCAGAGATGTTAGCCTAGAGTCCACCCTTGGGGTCTGAGCTTGGCCTGGGTCTGAGGAAGCTGCTTTGCATTGACAAGTATTTACTGAGCACCTACTGTGTGTGCTAGGCCGGGGCACAGCAGTGAACAGGGCAGACACAAATCCCTGCCCTTGTGGGGCTGATATGCTCATTGGAGAGACAGGCAGTAAATAATAAAGCTAATAGATAAGTAAACCCGATAGTGTTTTAGAAGGTGGTAGGTGCTATAAAAAGAAAAGAAAAGAAAAGAAACAGGATAGGAGAAAGATAGGGCATGACTGATTACAGACTGTAATTTTAAATAAGGAGGTCAGAGAGAGCCCAATAGAGAAGGTGGCATTTGAACAAAGACTAGAAACAGGTAAAGGACTGAGTCATGTGAGGGAAAGGTTTCTGAGCCAGAGAGCACAGCAAGTGCAAAGGCCCTGAGGTACATTTAAGGATGTAGCAGAAGGGGCGGAGGTGGGGAAATGAAGACTGCAGAGGGGCCACTATGACCTTGGCTATGGGGTGAACAGTGGGGCTGATCCCACCTCCCCACCCAAGGACTCACATGGTAGGAGAAGGAGAAGGTGACAGGAGGGTCTAGTTTCTCCGTGTTCTTGTTGCTCAGAAAGACCGTGTTGACGGTGGAGAGGATCTTGGCCTGAGCTTTGTTGACATAACTTTCATGTGTGTCTTCCAGCTCAATTTTCTTCTCAGGGTCCAGCTCCACGGAGGCATTGACCAGCAGTGTCTCCATTTTTCGGCTGGAGAATATGCCTGCCACAGTGCGGCCTGGGGAACAGATATGCTGGCTACCTTCCTCCCTCCCTCCCAAGACGTCCAAATTAGGCTTGGCCAGTCCACCATGATGCCTGGAGTCCCTCACGATGGCTCAGTTTCCAACTGTTACATATTTGGGACCTCACGCCTAGCCATATCCCAGCTCTTTCTTCCCTCTCCCACCGGTGCCCCCTCCGGCCGGCCACCTGCTGTTACCTGAGTCCCCGACTCCAGCTGCCTGAGTCCAGTTCAGCTTCATGCGTGCATGGCTCTGGCCCAGGGTGACGGTTCCATTCCGTTGCTCCTGGATCATCAGGGACAGCTCTGAGGGGAGAAGGGCAGTGACTGTGTGATCCAGATGCAGGATGGGGCCCAGGGTTGGGGCAGGGCAGGAAGAGGCCTCACCTGTGTCCAAAGGGGAACGGTAGGTGAAGGAGGGTCCAGGCAAGGTCTTGGCCAGGTTTCTCAGGACTTCTTCGAGGTAGGAGAGCAGGTGGGTGGCCATGCGGTACCGGTCAGACAGGGCCAGGGCCTCCAGGTCCCCAGGAACTTCCAGCTCATCCAATGACGTGATGAATTTCTGGGGGTGACGGGTAACAGCTGCTGGGTCCCTGCACCACAGGGACTGCCCAAAGGACCCTGATCTCACTCCCTCACTAGGGAACACACTGGAGAACCCCCCAGGTTGCCTGGGGGACAGACACAGGGGAATCATCTAGATGCTGCAGTAGCCATAAGACAAATGTGAGTATATGCCTATATGGCACTTAGCGTTGATTAGCCACTGACTCTCTGCCAGGTTCTCTCCTAAGTCTGCACTGTCCAGAACACTCACCACAAGTCACATGTGGCACCATATTGAAATGGTAATATTTTGAATCTATTGGGTTAAATGGAATCTTCACATTAATTTCATTTGTTTACTTTTACTTTTTTAAAAATCCTCACCCAAGGATATGTTATTATTGATTTGCAAGAGAAAGGAAGGGGGAGAGGGAGAGAAACACCTATGTGAGAGAGAAACATCAATTGGTTGCCTCCTGTACACACCCCAACCTGGAATTGAACCCGCAGCCTTTTGGTGTAGAGAACAATGCTCCAACCAATTAAGGCACCTGGCCAGAGCTAGTTTTCATTTTTAAAAAATATATTTTTATCGATTTCAGAGAGGAAGGGAGAGATAGAAACATCAATGATGAGAGAGAGTCACTGGTCGGCTGACTCCTGCACGCCCTCCACTGGGGATTGAGCCCGCAACCTGGGCACTTGCCCTTGACCTGAATCAAGCCTGGGGCCCTTCAGTCCATAGGCCGTCACTCTATCCTTTGAACCAAACCAGCTAGGATTATTTTTACCTTTTTTTTTTTCTTAAATAAAGCTACTGGAAAAATTTAAATGCCATAAGGGGCTCATATATTTCTACTGGGCTACGTGCATATGCTAAAACTTACATCCAGTGCTTACTGTGGGCCGGGCACTGTTCTTTGAGAAGGATTCTCTTAGTTCATTTAAACCTTCACAACCGCTGTATAAAGCGGGAGACGGGGACCCAGAGAGGGGGACCCTGAGGTCACGGCAGTAAGTGTGTGGGGGATTTGAACCTCTGTGACTCTGCTCCAGAGGCAAAATTCTGAATCACTCCATTCTGTAGCCATTATATCCCTCGCGAGTGTGAGTGTGTGTGCGAGGGCCACCCAGGAATGGTGGTTGTGTATGTGCATCCGTTTGTGCGATGGGGATATACAGGGTGTCCTCAAAAATGTGTACATACTTTAACAGCTGGTAGCTCAATTTTGAAAATGAAATATACTTTAATCAACACTGCCTTTATAATTGTTCAGGCTGTGTCCATACACTTTTGGGGGACAGCCTATATCTGGTGTGTGTGTAGTGTGCGTACAGCCACAGCTGTTTCTCTGATTAGAGGCCCCTGCTTGGGCTGTCTCCACTCACACTGAAGCATCCCCCAGCCACCCCCACACTGTCCTGGGCTTCCCCCCAGGTCATGTCCTTACCTGGATGGTGTCCTGGGCCGAGGCAGACGTAAAGTCTCTGCTCAGTTCCTGGACTTTTTCAAAGAAGTTGGAGAGACTCTGGGGAAAGAGGAGACGAGGGGTCAGAAACCCTCACAGGTGGGTGGGGGAGAGTGGGAAAATGGGTGGACAGTGGGCTGAGTGGAGGGACCTTGCCTCCTGGTCCCGGCTGGAGTCACTCACCTGGCTCTTGATTCCAGGGGGCGGGGTCCAGGTGGGGAAGGAGATCTCTGCAGGGGACAGAACAGCTGTCCATTAGGTGTGTGTGAGTGTGTGTGTGTGTGTGTGTGTGTGTGTGTGTTGGAGGTAGTGTCTAGGGGTCAGGCTCTACTTTCACACTGAGTAGTCCTTTGCTTATTCAGGAATCTGGGCCCCTCCCCTCTCCGTGCCCCACCCCCTTCCCGTGTCCAGTCCCCCTCCCCCGCAACGCCTTGGCTGGAGGTGATGACACCTGCTGACTGCACATCCCTGAGTGGCGGTCACAGGGGTTATGGGAAGAGTGCAGAGGCCTGACCCACAGTAGGTCAGCCTTCACAGAGGTACAGGTTGTGAGATATTAGATACCTTTGTCCCAGTTAGTAATTAGCTGCTGCCTGGGGTCCCCCAGGAGCCTTCCCCTTGGTACCCCAGCTCCTTCCGCAGGACCCCCAGATCTTTTCCCATTTAGTCTCAAAGAATGGAAGCCTGGCCCAGCAGGGCACCCCCAGCATTCATTCTGCTGGGTTCGTGTGGGTGCCCGTGAAAATGTGATCAGGTGGCTTGAGCTGTGGGTCTTTGGGAATGTGGGATCTGAACTCCAAACCTTCACAGACGGTGTTGTTTGGGCCATTGGGGGACCCAGGAACCGGCTTCCAGCCAGGGCGGCAGCGGCACTCATAGCTGCCCTCGGTGTTGTGGCATTGGGTGGATTTGTGGCAGGAATGTTTTCCCGAGGTACATTCATTCACATCTGAGGACAAAGCCAGAGCGTCAGGCCCTCCCTCTACTCCTTGCTCGCATCCTTCCTGCCCCTTCTCTCAAATCCCTTAGCAGTTCACCCCGAGGACACCCCACTATGCCCCGCTTACCAGCCACCTAGACTGACAGGATACAAACTTGTGGTGATGTTTTCCACTGTAAAAGCACCATAAGCTCAGAGCGCCCCTGCAAGGCGGACAGGGCAGGATGGACTGGGGGACTTCTAACCAGGGAAGCTGCCACACTGAGGCAGCTACCATGCGCTGAGGCTACCATGCGCTGAGGCTGTGGGCTGTAGCACCAATGTGCCCAGAGCTGCACTCTTGCCCTTATTAGAACAGAATCCGAGCCCTAGCCAGTTTGGTTCAGTGGATAGAACGTCGGCGTGCGGACTGAAGGGTCCCAGGTTCGATTCCAGTCAAGGGCACATGCCCGGGTTGCGGGCTCAATCCCCAGTAGGGGGTGTGCAGGAGGCAGCTGATCAATGATTCTATCTCATTGATGTTTCTATCTGTCTCTCCCTCTCCCTTTCTCTCTGAAATCAATAAAAATATATTTTAAAAAAGAACAGAATCTGAAGCTCAGCCCTGCCTGGCCCAGGTGCTCTCTCCTCACTGCCTGCACTGGGCACACACTATTGCTGAAAGTGCTGCCCCTTCCCTGCCAAAGCACCTTATGGCAGCTTCCTTTCAGATGGCTCAGCAAAGTAAAGAAGATGTGGTACATTTATGGGATCTGAACTCCAAACCTTCACAAACGGTGTTGTGTGGGCCATTGGGGGACCCAGGAATCGGCTTCCAGCCAGGGCGGCAGCGGCACACGTAGCTGCCCACAGTGTTGAGGCAGTGGGTGGTTTTGTGGCAGGGTTTTTGTCCCGAGGTACATTCATTCACATCTGAGGGCAAAGCCAGAGCATCAGGCCCTCCCTGACCCCACTTCTCATTGCCTGAGGATCCTACTGTCAGTACACATGGCACCACCTGGTGACCTTCAACTTCACCCTCAAAGCACGTTACGGTGACCTCCCTACAAGATGGAAATGGCAGGGACCATAGTCTCCAGTTTTTAGGTGGCAAATCCAGGAGGGAAACTGAGTCACAGGGGCTAGGTTTCTTGACCAAGGACTCCTGCCTACACCCTCCTGGGCCCTGGCCCTGGTTCCCTTCTGGGAACGAGAAGTCACACCTCCCCCTGCTGCATGTGACAGATGAGGAAAGGGAAGGGTCGGGGGTGCTCACAGGGGCTCCATAGGAAACCCCAGGCCCAGAAGACCCTGCCATCACCCAGCTCTGTGGAAGGACTTTTCAAGGAGGTGAATCCTTAGGCAGGGCCTTGACAGGGAACCTGAAAATCTTCTCCTGCCTCCTGGGGCTGCGGGGCCTGCGTCGGCTCCTTCCCCAGCTCCATCCAGTCCAGTCTCACAGCGTCCTCCCGGGGCCTCTACCTTTGCACAGCTTTGGGTCCTCTGGGTTCAGCTCAAATCCTGGTGGGCACGTGCAGGTGTAGCTGCCATGGGTGTTGACACACTCGCTGCGGCTTTTACAGATTCTGGGGTTCAACTGACATTCGTCCATGTCTGCAAGGGGAAGGAGAGGGTGGTGGATTCCTACAGCCATGGGCAGCCTTCAAACCTGGGATTCAGCCATGTTTCCTGCCATGGAAGCGTCTGAAGGCCCCTCTGCCTTCTGCCAGGAGAGTGGTGCCTTTTCTAATTCATATAGAGGTGTCCTGTGGGTAAGCATGGTGGCCTAGATGCTCTGTTGTCCAGATGTGGCCAGAAGCGGCCCAAGTCCTCCCTCTGACTCCTTGCACCACCACCTCCTCTCTGGGCAGCTCCCAGCTAGGGCAGGGACATCACTGCCACCTGTGTCCCAGCCTGAGGACTTGGGCAAAGGCCAGGCTGGGCCTTCCTGGAACCAAGTGCGGGAGAAGTGCTGCAGGCCCTCAGCAGGCTCCTTTCGGTGGCCTTGGTCCTGACTCCCCTGGGTGGTGCTGTGGGATGAGCTCTCCTTGGAATCCTGGTGACTCTGGTGAGACAGCACCCTCCCATCCACATGACTTCTGAGACTCCAGCCCATGGAGATGGACCGAGAACCACCCCTGAGCCTGACCCCTCGCGGACAAGGCTTTTAGGCCGGGGCCCAGAATGTGAAAATGATGCCAGATAGGCCAGGGCCACCTGGACAGTGGGTGCCAGGCCATGAGGGCAGTGGGGCTGACATCCAGCCATGCAGCCTTGGGGTGGTGAAGGTGCCCCTTCTGATCCCCCTGATGGCATCCCCTGGACTGGCAAGGAGTGATGAGAACCCACATGTGAGCTTGATCAGCGGTGGGCAAGGGCTGGGTGCCTGGAGCGGGGAGCAGCGGCTGATGGGTGAAGAGTGGCAGGTGTGTCTGTCATCTGGCTCCTTGTTCTACCACCAGGGACACAGTCCTGTGGGCCTTCCCTAGAGGGGCTGAGCTCTGTCTTCTGTAGCCCCATGGCCTGGGCCCCCATGGCACCTGGGTTTACCTCCTTGGAAGAGGATTGAGCCCGGGGCAATGGTCCCCGATGACACCCCCTCTTGTCACCTGGTCCAGGTGGGAGCCTCTTCCTTCACCCAACTCTCAGAGCTTGGGGCTGGGTGGGGAGGTCGACGTCACCCAGTCCACCCCAACATGTAACCCATCTGGATCCGGTCATCAAGCTGCCCACCGTCCTGAGAATTGAAGTTGTGGGGGAGGGTCAGAGTGGACGCTTGCTTGGGGGAATAGATGGAGGCCGAGTGGCAGAGAATTGGAGTCAGGGTATCAGGAGGCAGCTTCTCCAGCTGGGGCTGTGGGCCAGAGGTAATTTTCTTGAGGGGGTCCCTGGGCCATCACGGCCCGGGGGGTCTGGGAGGGCCTGGCATGGCTGCCCTGTGTGGGCTCCGGTGGCATCAGGTCTCATCCAGCAGGCACTGGCGATGGGGAAGAGGACGGTATTGTTCTGGAATGCACTGCGCCATGAGCTCTCGAAGTATCTTGACTGCCGCCCTCGTGTGTTTTATGCAATAAGACGCCAGGTGAGCAGGCTCCGAACTTCTGGGATGGCCTCTGCAGAGGGTTCTGAGTCGTGCGGTTCAGAGAGGGTTGGGAGACCAGGTAGTGCGTAGGATGGCCCTTTGATGCCTGGAGAAAGAGGGGTGAGCGGCCGAGGAAGGGGCCCAGGTCTCCTGCTCAAGGCAGACCTTGTGGGCCATGACGCGAGCAGACAGGTCCTCAGGTCGGCAAAGGCTGGAATGCTGAGGTGGGCAGGTGCCCAGAAGTCCCAGCTGAACCCGTCACAAAGCTAGGGCTTCAGGTGGCAGGTCCTGATCCAAACCCGCAGCAGCTCTCTCCCTGAGGTGCCTCCTCTGCCACCTCACTCTTGTTCGGCCATGTCTCTGCCCAGCAGCTCTGGCCCTGTCTCTCAGCCTGGCCTGTTCCTGACACAGCCACACACCTCAGTACCCACAGCACCGCCTGCGTGCAGGGCTTGCCATCGTGCAGGCACGCTGAGTGGGACCCATGACCACCGCTGCGGTTGTGCAGGTGGCTCACTGCACAAGGGAGTCCAGCCAAGGAGGCAACTGGGGGCTAAACACCAGCTCGCTCTCCATTCCCCAAACACACCATGTTCACCTGGAGACAAGGGACATGTTTCCAATTCACATGAAGGCTGTGCCCTGTGCGCAGGCTACACATCGGGGGCATAACGTCCCCCCACAGAGGCCCCTGTGGACCAGCAGTGCCGTGGATGGAGCCCTCCCGCTGGGCTCCAGGCAGGTGCAGGTGCCCCCTTCCTTCCCACCAGGAGGCTCTGCCACCTCCCTCTGCACGCAGGGCAGGCCTGGGGACCCAGCTCAGAGCCCCCAGGATCCCCAGCTCGGCCTCCTCCTCCCCTCTCTGTGTTCTTCACTAACCCCCTCTCTCTGGGTGAGTCATGGCTTCTGCCTGACCACTGCTGGCTGCATTTGCCTGCGGATGCCTGAAGCCCCTTTCCTGCCCACCTGCTTTCCCTGGAAAGGGGCAAAGCCTGGTGATGCATGGAGGCCTGGCTCCTCTTGGGTCCCTGGTGAGGGGCTGGGCCAGGCCAGCTGTTCTGAGTAGCCACCCGGGGTACGTCCCCTGGGATGTCCAACGCGGAGAGGGTTGTAGATCAGAATGAGTGTGGTCTAAAAGCCCAACAGCCACCACTGTGTTGTGCTCTAAGATCTCATATACTTTCCCAGCGGTTCTGTGAGGTAAGCACCATTGTCACTCCCTTTTACAGATGGGTAAACCGAGGCACAGACAGGTGAAGAACGTGTCCAAGGTCATACAGTTAACAAAAGTTTTTATCTGTAAAAGGTAGGCTCTCTCTCTCTCTCTCTCTTTTTTTTTTTTATACTGAATCACAATGATATTATCACATCTCGCACATTACCAGTGATTTCTGAATAAGTGTCCTGACTGGCGCTGCATACACAGCTGTCAGGTAGCAATACCAGGACTTGGGTCCTTGGCTCTCATGCCACCCTCCTCTCTGTGCTAGTGGGACAGGCACAGGCACACTTGTCCCACTCAGACCTGGGGCTGCACCCCTCACCAGGGCCCGGCACCCTGTATGTCGCAGGAATGGCTCTGGTGACTCCAAGCCTCATGGACAGGGAGATGGAAGATGCGGGTCATTCTTACCTTGACACGTGTTCTCTTTCGCATCACTGAACTTTGCTGCCTCAGAAACAAGCCTGTATCCTGGGATGCATGTGCAGTAGTAGCTCCCCACTGTGTTATGACACTCTGCGACTTTTCCACAGAGAGTCCCTGGCTTGCCTTGTTCACATTCGTCAATGTCTGCAACAAAACGGGATAAAGGGTCACCTCCCGAAGCCATGAGTGCCCTCAGGGCAGAGAGCTTGGTCCCATCCCTAGCATGGAGCCTGATGCTCAACCAGTGTCTTTTGGGAAATAATTAGACTCAGGCAACATTGCTGTGGCTGGAGCAAACCATTCCTGAAACCCACCAAATCAGCTCTGCTCTGCTCAGCTTTCTGTCTGTCTCCTGGATTTAGATACAGGAGCAAGTGCTGAAGTGGTGGGTGAGTAGAAGCTCAGCATCCCCCGCCCCAGTCTTCCCTCTGTACGAAGCCATGTTTATTCACTTCTCATTTTCCACCTTCATTTCTTTTCCTTTCTCTTTTCTCTGTCCTTGATGATGGTCTGAGAACAAAGGCTGAGGCTACCAACCACCATCCCGTCTCCATGTAGCCCTCCACCACCCCAAGCCTCTGTACCTTCACAAGTTTCCTCGTGCTGGAGGATGAGCTTCCCAGATGAAGATTTGAATCCCCGATCACAGAGACAGGCAGTGCCATTGACACATGAGGAGTTTTCAGGGCACGGCCGGCGACAGGCAGAGGCTGTGGGACGGAGACCATGGTCAGAAGATGAGGGCTGAGCCAGAGGCTGGGGAGGGGTGTTGGGAGGGACAACCCTGAGCTTCCTCCTGCAACAGGCCTTTCTCTGCCTGGGCTGAGAGGTGAGGTGGGGGTTGGGACTCTGGCTGGGGACTGAGTTACTCCCAGCAGACTCACCCCTGGTGCTCTGGGGTCCATCTTCCAACAGAATCAGCAGGACACACAGCGCTGGAACAGAGAGATGGAGGGTCAGGGGGGACACAGAACAGGGAAGGGAGGCCTGAGGGTGACACATCTGAGGGAAGCGGCGGCTCACCCCTCCCAGGCTCAGGCTCTGTCCATTACTCAAGGAGAGAGTGGGCAGGTGGCACCTCCCTGCCCTCCAGTGCCCATGGCCAGAGGGTCTGCACCCATCGCCTGAGGTGGCTTTCAGGAACTTAAGGATGGGGAGGGGCCCGAGCCTGGCAGGGGTCTTGGCTTCTGCTGATCTGTGGGAAGAAATTCAGGAAACATACTGGAGCCAGATGGCTTTGGTTCTACTCCCAGACCTTGGTCAGATGCCTCATTTCCTCAGTTTCCCCTTCTGTGAATGGGGATGAAGAGGAGATCCATTTCCTAGAGTGTGAGGGTTAAGCAGACAAGTACTGCCTGGTGTGTCAGAGTGCTTACTGCCGTCCTTTCTTTATGTGAAAATGAAGGGGTTGGGCCAGGTGTCCTCTCAGAACTCCCAAATCTAAGGTGCTCCAACCCACACTCTTCCTCAGGGACACAGTTGCAAGCACACTGCACCCACATCTGTCCACCACAACGACCAGCTTGGGACCCAGTGGTGACATTTCACGCCCTGGCTCCCTGCACACAGGAAGATGCTGGGGGCTCATGTTAGAGGTGGAGCTACACAGGCTCCCCAATCCTGCTCTTCCTGCTGCTCAGGGCACCCCATCCCAGGGCATGTCCTGGGGGGTTCTCCTTAAGTCAGCAGGGGGTCTATAGAGAGGAGGACTTCCTTGCCCGTTCACCAGAGAGACAGACAAGGAGACAGATGGAGAGAAAATAAAGAGGAGGGAGGGAGGGAGGGAGAGAGAGAGAGAGAGAGAGAGAGAGAGAGAGAGAACTAGAGACTTAGAGGAGAAAGAGGGATACAGAGATGGAAGGAAAATGAAGAGATGAAAGAGAGACAAAAGACAGAGAAATGGAGAGAGAAACAGAGGCAGAGTTAAGAAGACAGTAATATAGAGATGGACAGAGAAATAGGAAGCTCCTAGAAAGGAAGAGACACAGATGCCAGAGATTAGATGGAGAGAAATGAGAGATAGAGAGATTGAGAGCCAGATAGAGAAAGAGAAGAAAAGGGAGGGGGGAGTGAGTGCGGTGCCTGGGCAGCAGGTGGGGTGTGGGGAGGGCTTGAGGGATCCATCCAGTCCCTGCAGATCTAGAGATGCTGGGGAGGCAGCCCAGACCCAGATAATCCAGGGAGACCAGATGGGGGCAGCGGGTGGAGGGATGGGGGCCAGGGAGGCAGAGCAGGAACGAGTCACTTCCTGGGCCAAATGAAGGCATAACTCATGGCTCCCAGTCCCCCATGGAGGGGCTCCCAGTCCCCCATAGAGGGGCTCCCAGGGGAATTTTGGGATGGATCCTTGTGAGCACAACTTGAGGAGCTGTGGAGGGTGCAGACTGGAGGGCCCCCTGAGCACTCAGTCCCAATGCCCAAGCTTGATGCCCCTCAGGCCAGCAGAGGGCAAAGACCCCCACACCCTCCCCAAGGCCTCGAAGATGCGGTGAACAGGCTAGAACTCCTGTCTTCCTCCTCTCTGGCCACAGGGTTTGGTTAGTTCTCCCTTTGGTGGAACCCACTTCCTCTTTGTAGGACAGACCACAAAATGACCTTCCCTGGCAGCGTGGGCCCTGGGCCGATTTGTAGCACCGTCCATGCTCACAGTTACCCTAGAAGACAGGGCTCTGTTTATGCCCACTCTGCAGATGGACAAACTGAGGCTCAGAGCCCAGAAAAGACTTATGGAGAAACTGGCGAAGAGGGGGCTGGGGAAGATAGAAGTGAGGGGTCAAGTTCCCCAGACCCTGCAGGGAGGAGGTTCTCTGTGCTGAGCTGGGCTTTCCTGCCCCACCACAGAGGCTGCTGGGCCAGACCTCCACCTGGGGCCCAGCACGTCACCCAAACAGGAGTCTGGAGAGGGGTGCCTGGCCCTGCTCCCAGTCCCATCAGGTTTGCATTCCCCTAGCTGAGCCCTGAGCAGTCAGATTCCTGCCTGGGGCCCCTGTGGCAGGGGTGGGGCAGTCATTCTCTCCTTGCTCCTCCTGCTAAGGATCCCCACCCCCCTCCGCCCCAACACCCAAACCCACTAGTGAAATAATAATAATAGTAGCATTAACAACAACAACAATAATGTTACTTAATTCTCACTGTGAACCAGGACTCAACCCTTAACACAAGCCTGTGAAGTGGAGACCAGCCTTGCTCTGCCCCATTTCTCAGACGTGGAGAGTGAGGATCAGGGGCTCTGTGACTTGGCCCCTGACACATCGCCGCCTTCAGCTGTGCTCCACACGGACTCCACAAAAATCATCTAATTGTAATCATGCAACAGGCTATGTCAATTACACCTCACTTTCATAAAAAAACAAAACAAAAAAAAAAAAACAGCTCGCGCCTGGCACCCTGGGCCAGCACAGGGAGCCCCATCCCTGTGGCCTGGGGAAGTTCTGAGTGGCACCCAAATGTCATTTCTTAACTCTCTTTGTTGCCTGGTTGCCCAGGCAACGGGCTGCCCTGATAACCTGATAACCGTTAGAGCCACCCTGGGTGGGGCGGGAAGGGAGGCGAGGGGGAAGTCACAGCAAAGCCCAGGTTCAACCCACAGCAGCAAAGCCCTTCAGCGCACAGCTGAGTCCCCGCTGGGTCTCTGGGCTTCCCCTGCCACACAATGGGAGAAGTGTGGGGGTCACCCGGCTGTGGAAGGGTCCCCCTTAGCTCCCTAGCCCCCTCTCTGCCATCTGTTAGGAGTGACTTCCTGAGGGGGTCACAGCACTCATTCGCCCCTTCTCTTCCACCTGCTTCAGTTTCCCCTCTTAGGGAGCAGCTTCCAAAGTGGATCTGGAAGGAGCGTGAAGATCCCTCTGGGGTGGGGAACAGACCCTTAGAGCCCTCGGGGGGTTCCTGCTCGGGAGAGAGGGTTCCTGGGCACTGCCAGCTGCTCTCCCATGTGCCGTGGCTCCCGCCTAACCATGCGGCTTCCTCCATGTCAGGCCCCAGAGCTGCCAGCGGTGCCTCCTATTTCTCCATGGGTGGGGGTGGTGTGGGGAGACTGGAAAATGGAGGCACCAAAGGGGTGCTGCCAGGGGCTCCCTTACCCCTCCCAGAGGGGTCCCCAAACTCTTACCCTGTAGGATGTGAAAGGCGCTGAGGCGGGGACCTTCCATGGTGACCTGAGCTGCCAGCAGGGGAAGAAGCGGTTGGGCCGTCCGAGTCCCCAGGCGGGGCAGCCGCGCCTTTATAAAGTGTGTGGGCGGGACCCACTGCCCCAGGCCCCGCCCGCAACTGGTGGGGCAGCTGGAAGCCCACAGGAAAGTGCAGTAAAAACACAGCCCCGGGGGCAAAGCACTGGCCCCCCCCCTCCCAGTCCCCTCCCTCCCTCAACACACACACACACACCTCAGAGGTGTCACCTGCTCTCAGATCCTTGGCCAGCAGCTCCACCGTTTGAATTTCTGACAAACACTCTGAGCCCTGGGGCTCTAGGCACATATCCCAGTGGCCCAGGCAAATGGGGGCCGTGAGGGCCGGGGTGGGGGAGTCTTGCCCCAGGACTGTTTAGTTTCCGGAGGGGCCATCGCCAGGTCAGAAACCCCTCGGTGCTTTCACTTTGGGGACTCCCCTGTGCTCACGGCCTTGGCATGTCCTAGTCTCCAAACCCAGCCCCTGACCTAACAGTACCTCCCCCCATTTCTCAGAGTAGGAAACTGAGGCACAGAGAGTTCGGAGTCGAGTAGGAGCTGCAGGAGCGTGAAGGTGTCAGGGATGCCAGGCAGGCACCAAGAAAAGACATGTCAGACACCCAGGCGCCACCACGCTGGAGACAGCCTTTCTGGGCGAGGTTTCCCCTGGTGGGAAACTTACATTTCAGGGGAGTGTGGGCACCACGTTAACCCACAGAGAATCACATGATAGGAAAGCTGTTTCCTTTTTGAATAAGTCACACGACTGGCTTGTCTCTGGGGCCATCTAGCAATTTTTAAAATTTGCTGTTACTTATAAAGCGCGTAATCCGGGCCGGGCCTGACTGTAGGTGCTGTGCCTATTTCAACCGTTGACTCTGCGAACCCTCTATGAGGCAGGTTCGTCTCTGCTCCCCATTTACAGGGGGGAGGCTAAGGCACAGCTAACCTGTAGCTCAGCAGAGATCCAGGGCAGGAGAAGGTCTCTAGGGTGCTAATGTGTCTTTAACACCTCAGTGGCCCTGAGGTTTACCCCGCTAGCCACCTTGGTGCTATGTTCCTTGTGCTGTTATTTTAAGTTTAGGAAGTCCCAGGGCAACACAAAGCGTTTGCCAGTGATAACATCAATATGCTGTTTCCTTCTGAAATGAACGAATGAGTCAAGGATGCAAAAGTGTAGAAAAATTAAAGAACATGTGAAGTCCATCATAGTTCGAAAGGGGAAGATTGTGGTCCTGGAAAAGTAAAGTCACCCATGGCTGAGGGCAGAGAAGCACCCCCATCCCTAGAATTAACCCCTTCCTACCCACTGTCATTCCCTTGACCTGGACAGGGGGTTGGGGGGGGGGTCCCACCAGGGTGCCTGAGGGGCCTGGGGGAGGGAGTGGACACTGGAGGAGGCTGGGAGGGGAGAGGGCCAGGCCAGTCTTTTTTGGGTCCCCCCCCCCACAATGCTGTAAACCCCAGGTCTGGGCATCCTGCCTTATAGGCCAAGGTGTGATTCCTGGAGAAGCTGGGGGTGGGCGGGGAGGGGGGGGTGGGACGGGGGGATCCCAGCTTGGGGCAGGGAGGCTGGGCCCCAGGGCGTTGTTCCCACACTGTCCACATGATGATCCATTGCTTTGCCTGCTCCTCCCCTGGGATGTGCCTTGGGCCCTTGGAGCAGGTCTAACCTGTCTGGAGCTCAGTCTTCCTATCTGAGGAATGGGATTAAAATACCTACCCGGCCCTAACCGGTTTGGCTCAGTGGATAGAGCGTCGGCCTGCAGACTGAAGGGTCCCAGGTTCGATTCCAGTCAAGGGCATGTACCTTGGTTCCGGGCACCTCCCCAGTAGGGGGTGTGCAGGAGGCAGCTGATCGATGTTTCTCTCTCATCGATGTTTCTAACTCTCTATCCCTCTCCCTTCCTCTCTGAAAAATCAATAAAATATATTTTAAAAAAATGCCTGCCCGCTGGCCTCACGCAGCAGGGTGAGGAAGAACTGGGTAACATACTGGGAAAATGCATTGAGATGTTTGCTGCAAGCTTGGGGGAGGCCTGAAGAGGAACATCCCGCCACCGCCACTATAACCTGGCCGGTCAGCAAGCCCGATGGCTCTGACTTCACTACACCCCAAATCTCTCACTTCTCCTCACTGGCCCCCTCCCTGGTCTAGTCCCATCGTCGCCCATGTTGGTGCCCTGGCTCCTGTCCCCACACTTGTTCCCCTCACTGTGGACCAAGGGTGCCTGGGACTGCCTGAGTCAGGCACACCCCTCCTCTGCTCAAGAGCCCTCTATGGCTCCCACTTCACTCAGCATAAACTTCTAATGGTGCAGACTGCCCTGCAAGCTCTGCCCCGGCACCTCCCTGCCCTCAGCTCCCTCTTCAGTCTCCTTCGTCACTTGGCTACCGGTTTTTCCTGGTGGAAAACCCCAGGCACATTCGACCTCAGTGTCTGACCTATGCAAGGGCGGCTATCTCTGCCTGGAGCACCTGGCCCTGATAATCTCCAGGCTCCCTCCCTCCTGTGGACGAAAGGGGCCACATGCTGACCTGACAAGCTCAGGAGAGGCCTGCATGGCAGTCTTGCAAACTCAGAGACCTAAAGTAACCACAAAGGGTGGTCTGAAATTAAACTTTAACTAAAAGCAGTTATGGTGGGCAGTTACGTCCTGGGCCAGAATCTTCACTAGCAAGGTCCACCTTTACCTTAACGGAGCCTATCAGTCTTTTTGCATCTAAGATAACATATCCTTGAAATGTCTGGGTAACTTGTGACTTCCCTTTTTATGGAGACCCTGGGGCACTGCCAGGTGTGCTGGGCCCAGGACAGATAGAACAGTTTCCTTCATTTATCATGTTAACTGTTCCTGTCCATCATTTTACTTTTTATCCAATCCCGGAGGTTTCCCCGCTTTGCTTTATCCCTCCTCCTTAATCTATCACCAGTGAATTTCATGTAACTCACCTATGTCCCTCCTTTGATTGCAATGTATAAATACGAATGTAATCCCGCCATTCTCCGGAGCATTATCTCAATTCGTTGAGGTTTTGCTTCCCGGCATATGTCGACAGTTTGGCTCAAATAAACTCACAAAAATTCTTTACAGGTTTCAATGGTTTTTTACGTTAACACTCCTGTCATTCATGTCTTTGCTCAAACATTCCCCGACCTATCTCCCAAGTCTGATACGTAATCCTCCTCCATCCGCAGCAACCCTGATGGTTCCCCACTTTGCCCATTCTCTGTAGCACCTCATCAGACCCCATCATGGAACTTACCTGCTTCCCTGTTTACTGTCTGCCCTCCACCCCACAGACTGTGAGCCCCGAGGGCAGGACTTTGACCCCTTTGTGTCTCTGCACCTTGCAGGTCCCAGCTAGTGATCCCACCCCTGCTGCTGCCCCCACTGAAGGAAACCCCCTCGGGCTTCCTGATCTGGCCCCACTGGAGTGTCCACATTACTCCCCCTCCTTCCTTGAAGTTCCAGCCCCGCTGACCTATTTGGCAGCCCTTCGGACAACCTGTGACCTCTGTTCCACATGGTGTGAGGCAGGGACATGGGTCCCCATTAGTCAGATGGGAAATGGGCACCTGGGGGCTTGGGCCACTGGCCTGAGAGTCCTCAGCTAGGAAGTGGCTGACCAGGATTATCCAACCAATAATAATAAGAATATTATTCTATTTATTGTTATTGTCATTGTCACAGCTGCAACAGGAGCAATTGTCATGGTGAGTGACAGTAGTCACCCAGCACCCTCTGGGTGCCTGGCCCTCTTCTAAGCACTTCACAGGGATTGAACTCACTTATCTTCCCAGGAGCCCTAGGAGGCAGGTGCTGTGCTTTGCATTAGACAGATGGGGAAACAGAGGCACGAAATGGTGAAATGACTTGCACAGTCACAGGGCAGTCCCCCTTCCCACCTCCCATCTCCCATCAGAGGTCCCGGGCAAAACCCTCCTCTTCCACTTTTGGACCATGTGGCCTCAGGCTGGTTACGTGACTTCTCTGGGCCTCAGTTTCTCCGTCTGTGAAATGGTCAGAACCTCGGTGAGCACAGGTGAGGGTTGTAGGGGAGTGACAAGTTGCAGGGGCTCAGAGTGGATGTTATGTGCTGTCAACCCAGCAGTTAGGATGGCCGTCTTCTCTGCAATGCCCTCTGCTGTGCGGAAGACAAGGGGACCTCAATGTCCTGCCCCCCCTTCTGGTGCCACCAGCCCATGCCCAGCACCCTTCCAAGCCCCAGGAGAGGCAGGGTCAAATGGGGTCTCCGGATGGAAGGGGGCGTAACAGGAAGCCCCCTGCCTGGGACACAATGGCAGAGGAAGGGGCCGGCCAGCCCCACACGGATGAGCCCAGCTGCTGGCTCCAGGAGGGCGGCACAGCTATTGTGAGGCCAGACAGCTGTCCCCAAGCAGGAAGCCCCAGAGTGTGAGGAAAGGGGGTGGGAGGCTGCTGGCCAGCTCTGACCCCAGACCCAGGGTCAGGAGGGACAATGGACCCTTTGTCTCCTCCTGCAGGCTGGACACCTGGATTCCCCCCAGGCCAGGCTTTCAGAGTCTATTTGACCAGATTGGTCGCACCCTGCCCAGCCCCGGCTGGCATCCTCCTGAGCCCTGACCCCCACCCAGCCCAGCCCAGCCCAGCCCAGCCCAGGGAGTGCGGAGGCAGCAGGGCTGAGCGGGCCATACTTATAGTTCCCTGGCACTGCTGAGTGAACTAAATATAGAAGCTGAGCTATTTGAGGCCTTGGCCTGGGGCAGCGTGGGGGCAGGGGCACCGCACGTGTGCCTCCCTGGCCTGGGTCCCCAAGATTTGCCTGGGCCTCTCAGTTCCTGGGGCTGGGGCTGGGGGAATCACGGGGGCAGGGTGGGCAGTATGTCTGCTTGAATGGGGATACAGACCTGGTGGCGGAGCCCAAAGCGATGGGGGCGGAAGCAAGAGGCTGTGATGCGTTAGAGCAGCGATTTTCTTTCTTTTTTGTTTTTCCCACGCCCCTCAACCTTTTTCATCTCATGGCCCACATGAACTAATTACTAAAATCCTTCAGCACACCAAAACTATAGATTATATTTTT